AAAAGAAAGCACCCATCAGTACTACAAAGAGCTATAACGGTTACTAGACGTGAGAAACCTATTTTCCTGAAAAATTGTTTTAAGGGAAATATTTTATAAATTTCAATCCACAGCGGTACTCGCTTCTCGGTCAATGAATGCCGAATGTTTCCTTATGTGGAAATGGCTCATTACAAATACCGTTACCATCGTAATGGATGTAATAGTTAAGTACAGTGTAACCCGGATATAAGAGAGTTGTCGGGACCGGAGAAGAAGTCTCTTTTATCCGGGTTTCTCTTATATCCGGGTTTGGTCTATTTTATATACATTAACACAGGCTCTAATTTGGGACCAGAGAAAATATCTCTTATATCCGGGTTTCTCTTATATCAGGGTCTCTTATATCCGGGTTACACTGTAATGTCTAAATTTCTTAGATGATTTATTGCCACTAGTAATAACTTTTAACTAGCTCTACTTTACTCTTTCTATCATATAGTCGTTAATTAAGCAACTGGGATCGGAAGTAAAAAAAACCCTTCCAACAAAACTTGAACACATTTTCATACTTCAGACAAAGTGTAAAAAATTCTATATATCGCGTTTCGCCCTCTAAAAGTAATATTCTTATTGGTGGAATTATATATTTGTAGGCGGGGGGAGAAGATATAAGCGTAACCGTCAGTTATATTTATGTACTGAGGGGAAAACCTGAAGATGTAGGACCGCTGAATTTTTAACTTTTTTTTTTTTTAATTTTCAATTTTACTATTTCTGGCATTCGATTTGTCTAGACGTACACCTTAGTCGATCTTATTTGGTTTCCTGACACTTTTGTTTTTTTTATTTTTTATTGCTGCTGTTTTTTTTAAATATCCTACACTATGACAACTGAACATTTGTTAAAGAAAGGTTAAAGGTTATAAGAAGCTGGACGCAAATTTATCATGGTTGATTCTGATATTAGAGCACTTTCTGTACATTTTCGCCTAAGTAAATTACTTTCTTTCTTAATTAAAGCAACGTTCTTTAAGGCGAAATTATGGTCAGATTTATTACAGGGAGTAATTAATACTGTGAATGTGTTGTTTTGTAAAAGATCTATTTTGTGTACATATAATCTTTTATTTAAATTCCTCGAAGTCTCTCCGATGTATTCCTGGTGGAAATCATAACATGCTATAATCAAATACACACACGCACACACACACACATACACACACACATATATATATTATAAAGATGTTACATACGGATAAACAAATACTCACGACAAAAATGTATTTTTGTTTCGATACGAATGTATTTTGACAAATATATTTGTTCCTCACCTATCGAGATGCATTCGCATCTAAACAAAAATGCATCTTTGTCGTGAGTACTTGTTTGTTCGTATGTAACTATTGCTCTACTCTTGGCATTGAGTCCTCTTCTAAATTAATGCTATGAACGTTTGAATTTATGTTCTTTTCGTTCTCGTTACTTTTGAATATATATATATATATATATATATATATATATATATATATATATATATATATATATATTGAACCTGGATATATATTTTTAAGAACCTGGACGTGGATATATATATATATATATATATATATATATATATATATATATATATATATATATCCACGTCCAGGTTCTTAAAACCTTTTCCTTTTCTTGACAGATCTATTAACGCAATGTGGGATATTTAGCAAAAGTGATGTAAAGATAAACAAAAAGAAAAATAATTTAAATGAAATCGGTTAGATCATATAACCAAAAATTAAAAAAAAATTTTTTTTAATTTCTCAGTGCCTCTCTTTCGTTCGCGCGCATGTGTAGTAAACACATAAACATAGATTGATGAAGTCCTAAAGGCCGAAACGCGTCACACGAAAACTTTTTCTTACTTCACCATACTTCTTTCTCCTAAAACTAGTCTTGATATATAAAAACGACGTATATATCGTTATCCTATCTTTCTTACTCTCTCCCTCTCTGTCTGTCTGTCTGTCTCTCTCTCTCTCTCTATATATATATATATGTATATATATATATGTGCATATGTGTGTGTGTGTGAAATTCCATTAATAAGAACATTACTTTTATCTGATGAAGTCCTTTTTCCACTTTGTCATTCAATGACATTTTTCTAATATATAGAAATGACACCGCCACCACTCTATACACCCCGACACCTCCAGCAACATTAATCTATCTATCTATATATAAAATTCTGTGACTTCCTTTAGTCTGTCCGTTACATCCTCATAAATAGCAATACACTGACCGATCGAAATCAAATTTTGGAGATAAGTGTAAACAGATAAGGGGGTTCAAATACAGTTGGTTTTAGCAGGGTGCGTAAAAACCGCGAAGTAGGATTTTTGTTTTGTTTGGTATTTTACCAAACAAATCAGCTTGTTCAAATTTCATCGGTTCTTTTACGAAATTGAACGAAACGTAGAGTCTGTAAATCTCGACTAAAAATGTTAGCGATAACTTTAACACTACTAAATACGCTGAGGATTTCAACACGCGTCAGCTTGTTGCAAAAAAAAAAAAAAAAAAAAAAAAAAAAAAAAAAAAAAAAAGAAAAAAGAAAAAAGAAAAAAAGAAAAAAAAAAAAGAAAAAAAAAAAAAAAAAAAAAAAAAAAAAAAAAAGAAAAAAAAAAAGAAATCTAGTTTACTAAATTCCCCTGCGCCTGGTGTAAAACAAAACAAATGCTTACAGTATCTGGTATAGCTAAGCAGTCAACAGTCTAAATATCGATCAGATTTGACGTTGCTTAACTTCAATGAAAAGACATGAACCAGTGCTTTAAAAAGAAAATACTATGCTTTGCATAATCTGGCATACGCCCAGAGGATGTTTGCAGTAAATGTGGTTGATTTTGTTAATATTTTGATGTTTAGTCACAACATCATGGAAAAGGTGTTCTACTACTATGTTCTCAAGAATTTACTTAAAAAATGTTTAATTTCTGTTCTTTTTTTTTTTTTACAGTGGAGTTCAACCTGTACAAGGCCCAGAGGCTACTCGAGGCACAGAGTTACAGTAAGAGGCAATTTATGCGGATAAGAGAAGATAATGGTTAACTGTAGACTTAAACAGTTTAAGATTGTAGTGATCGGGGAAACATCCTTTTTGGAGTCAGTTCCACAGATCAATGGTTCGCGTGAAGAAGCTGTTCGAGTGGAACTTACTTCTCACCGATGGAATACGGAGGAAATGTGGCTGGTTTGCCTTAATGTGTGTGGCATGACGGGTCCTAGTCGTGACTTGTGTCTCAACTTCGTCCCAATACGTAGTAGTCCGACGGATTCATGTCTGGAGAACTAGGTGGCTATATGCTTGGGGTGACATGATCGTAGATATAGTAACTCATCCATTCTTGTGTGGTCTTGGTCTTATGAGATGGCGCAGCGTCTTGTTGGTAGGTGTGTTGTCTTCCTTTGTTCAGATTCTCTATCCAAGGTATCACAACCATCTCCTGTACTTATCAGCAGCAGGATTGATCCTTAAGCCCCAAATTAAAATGCGAAGTGGCCTGACATCGTCATCATTGCTTACGACTCCCAGAACTATATCAGTTGCCAGAAGCTTTGTTCGCACGAATGTCTTCAGGCTCTCTGCATAACCATTTCGCATTCCTTCAGTTGACCTTTTATTTTTAATCAATTTTTTTTCTCATCAGAGAAAAACCAAATCATTCTAAGCTCTTGATGTTTTCAACTTGCTCAACAAACGCTTGGAGTTAATGTGACAGTTATCTTTTGTCTTTGCAGACATGAATTTGCTTCGACACATCACATAAGACTTGTATTGAAATTTCTCTTTGAATAACTTTTCTGAATGAATACCTTAAAACTATGAACTCCTTAGCAATGGCTTTAATTGACTTTCTTGGATTTTTACCCATAATTGTCTGCATCTTTCATAGAAATTTGGATGTTCTGATGGTATTAGGACCATTAACAGGCATTTTACGTTTGGCTACTGCTGTAGAGTCCCTGTCAGTGACTTCTATCTCTTCACAAATTTTGTTTTTCTTTCTATTCTTCTTCACTTCATTTCTCTGTCTTTTCTTTCTGACTCTTTTCTTTCTCTTTTTTTCACTTTTTCTCTATCTCCACTCTTCAATTTCCTCTCTGTCTTTCCTTTTCTTTCTTTTTCTTTCTCTCATTCTCTCCCTTTTTTACTTTTTCTTTCTCTCTCTCTCTCTTTCCTCTATCCCTTAATTCTTTTAAGTAGTTTCCCTTTTTTTCGTTATCTTTACTCTTCCCTTCTCCACTCCCTATCTATCTCTGGAAGATATTATATACAAATATACAGAGTTGCTCAGTTCTTTGAGGACATTTGCATTAATTTAGTAAAAGATGCATAAGTTTCATTTGAGAAAAATGTCATGAATAATTTTGAGACTGTTGATGCCTCTGTTTCATGAACCCACAGTTAGTATCGATGGCTGCTTCAATACGAGATCTGAAACCTTGACACAACCGAATCAGAAGATCTTTATCAATTTTAGACTTTGTCCTAGTTATGACCGACTTCAAAGATTGTACAGGTACGCGGACATTTAATGATTTCTTTTTTTTTCTTTTTTTTTTTACAGTAAGGCACACCATTTACAAGGCCACTCGAGGTAGAGGCTTACGTTAAGTGGCAATTTGTGAGGATAGGATGGGAAGATAACGGTTAACCCTAAACTTAAACAGGTTAAGATTGTAGTGATCGGGGAAACATCCTCGTGGGAGTCGGTCCCATAGAGGAGTGGTTCGCGGAAGAAGCTGTTCGAGTGGAATGGAATACTGAGGAAATGTGAGTAATTTGCTACAATGTGAGTGGCATGGCGAGTTTATGAAACTTAGAACTGGCGGAACTAAGGAATGCACTTCGCCCGATTCATACCTTTCCTAATTTAGTTGCGCGTTAATATAATGCCCCTACGAGAATTGGATCTCGGCTATTCGATTAACAATTCCGAGCCAATATCCATTACACTATCCGCACATCCAAGCTTACAGCAACTGATATTCCCAAGTGGTCACCCATTTAGGTGCTAACCAGGCTCGACGTTGCTTAACTTCAATGATCGTATGGAATCCGTTGTTTCAACGTGATGTGGCCGTAAGCCGGTAAGTAAATGAGACCGTTGCCAGGAATCAAAGCAGTAGAACCTCCGCCTGAATCGAAAACATCAAACCTGAGTTGGGGTGGAGGCAGACACCAAGACAAGCTCGGCAGTTTGGGAAGACTAAAGGATCCATTGAGAAGTGGTGGGGGGGCTCATAAAGATTGCTTGAAAATGAGCCGATATCCTTACCCCCATTTCCTACTTTAGTGCTATATCACTAAAGAAATTTCTATATAGGAGATTAGGTGTGACCATCTCACTACGATTGGAGGAACACGCATGGAACTAACTTATAATAATAGTTTTAATATTGTTAAAGTCAGAATGGTGTCTACCTAAACGAGAAGCTTAAAATTAGTAGCAGAACACTAAAAATATGTGACAATATACATAGCTACATATATACTGAATAATATCAACTATGAACACGGTCAGAAAGTGCTGACAGTATTTGGAAAAAAACACTCACATCCTTGTACATCCCATAAAGGTATAAAAAATGTACATATTCAGTTAAAAAAATGTACATATAGAATTAAAACAAAAACTTAATAATAAAAGAATAAAAGAATAGCCAAAAGCGCTCGGATATATAAATCATTTGGACCTTTTTTTACACACTTTATGTCTAGAAAAGAAAATACTTGTATAAATGTCAGGAAAATTGAATAAAAAGCTTAATCATAGTACTTTGTCAGTCGTCTTTAATGAAACTTGTATAAAAGGGGGATTGCTACCCAAGTACAAAATCTAGTAATGTTCCATCTACAAATTGATAATTATATTCGCTGCTCAGAAAACCTTCAAGAAGAACGATATTTGAAATACGGAATAGTATCTCATAAAATTTTTTAATGAAGAACAGAATTTGGGCTTAAAACAGGTTAAAATATTGAATCATAGCAAGGAATGATATGGATTCTTGCATTTTCAAATCTACAAATAGATCTTATCAAAATATTGAACATTTTTATGGTACATATGGTTGAAGAATGTAATCATTATTTAGTCTTGGTTAGGGAACGGTTTTGTTTTCGTCCCTTAAACAAATGATTAAAATCTTTATGGGAACATCCACGAACAGAATGAAACGTCAAGCAGGAAGGCACAGAAGGGAAAAAGAAAAAAAAAGAAAAGGAGTAACTGGAAGTGAGTGACCAACTGTGGTTACTTTTGTCAATAAGATAAGAACATAAAAGCTGAGGTTCTCACACGGCAAAGAGAGGTCAGGTGGAGATGGACATAGTAAAAAAAAAAAAAAAAAAAAAATAATCGGTCAATAAAAGCCGTTTGATTGTACCGATAAACCCTGTCATCAGGTGAAAGGTCAGCTACTTTACTGTCCGTTTTCCGGTAAAGGGTGGTAAGTCGGCGCGTTTTGAGGAATGTCTTTTGGGACGAACACGAACGGATTGGCTACGGCCAGATCTGTAAAAACGCTATTGAAAAGACTCACGTTTCACGGAGAGAAAGAGAAATGGGATACAGGGTAGAGAGAAGAATGAGTGGCTGGGGAGGCGCTGCGTGGGCGAAAGGTATGCGGCAAACGAAGGTTAGGAACGAATGATTGGTGAGGATTGTCAGTTGTAAACACGAATTTCCCGCCTTTTCCGGGATGGTGTGTCTTGAGCAGGGGTGTGGAAAAAAAAAGATAAGTTTCCTTTGGCGAGGATTCTTTATTTTTAACACACACACACACACACACACACACACACACACACACACACACATATATATATATATATATAAAAAGTGGATAAAGTTTTAGCGTGACTCGTTTCGTCCGTTAGGACTTCATCCGTTGATGTCCTAATAGACAAAACACATCACATGAAAACTTTTTACACTTTGTCATACTGTTCTTGATATAGAAAAATGTATATATTTTATCCCCCTATATATATATATATATATATATATATATATATATATATATATATATATGGACAACAAAAGTTCATTTTCTATCAAGACATTCATTTCTGTAGTTCACTGCTACCAACAAGCAGAAGTATTTCTTCTCCTGATGATGGCTATTTTGGCCTAAACTAGTCGAGGAATCTAAATGAAATAATAATTAAAAAAAAACGAAAGAATATTAATCAACAACCCAGTGTGTCTGAAGATTTTAATTTTTAATATTTTTTATTGTATATATATATATATATATATATATATATATATATATATATATATGAGATTCAAAGTACTTGGAAAATAAAAATATTTGAAAGAAAATTTTGTATTTTTTCTTAATCAATTTTTTAAAGCTACAAAGAAATTAAACTGGGAACTTGAAAGGATCACGACGAAACTAATCGACATGATATGTTTAAATTATTTAACCAAACCTGTTTGAATATATATATATATATATATATATATATATATATATATATATATATATATATATATATATATATATCTCGGAGTTCTTGACAAGATCCAGAGACGGATATGTAATCTAATTGGCCCTGAGTCACTCTCTCACAGACGCGCGCTGTCGCCTCTCTCTGTCTTTTTTTACAAATACTTTTCATGGTAATTGCTCTGATGAGCTGCTTTCACTGGTTCCCAGACTCCATGAATTCAAGCGCCCTATGAGGCTGGCATCCTGCTCCCACCTTTTTTACACTGTAGAAACTCTTAAATGTAGCCGTCTCTTCTACTCCAATAGCTTCATACCTCGCACATCTCGCCCGTGGAACACCCTTCCCAATTACTATTTCCCTGAAAGCTATAATCTCCAACTATTCAAATGTAATGTCAATCGACACCTCCAGTTACCTTGATCTACCCACTATCCTTCTCCTCATACTTTCTTCTATCACTCCTATCCGCTCTCGCTCCAAATCTTCCGCAACCCCCTGCATCCTAGTGGCTTCACGCCTTGCTCGGGGCGTAATATATATATATATATATATTCTAAACACAAAGTGTGTAAAAACTGTCGAAAAGTTTTGCATTTCCGAGTGCTTTCGGCTATACTTTTATCCATTATCTATAAAAGTAAACATAAAATCAATCTCGATTCATGCATAAATCACAGAGTTAAAACTGAAAGAATAATTTATGCCATAATATGTTCATTTCATCATTGTTATTATTATTGAATATATGATAAGAGAAAATGATTCAGAAAGAGAAAATCCTTCTGATCCGAAGTGAGCTAGAAATTTGTTTTGAAGTAAGTTGAAGAGGATATCAGTTTTGTGACATCTATCTATCTATCTATCTATCTATCTATCTATCTATCTATCTATCATTAATGAAACCATGTAAATATACTTGACCAGAGGCAGTGAGAGAAAAAGGCAAAAATAAGAACCATTAAAGAATATACCTGAAATTAATAAGATAGAAAGTACTCAACAATTTTGCATATATATTTGTATATATATTTTCTATAATAATAATAATAAGCTTGATACACGCTTAGGCGTTCATGTATTTTTCGATACATGTCTGACGAGGTAGACTTTTTCCGGTAGTAAGTTGCCATCTCTTTCTGCAGTAGACCAGTTGCCATCTGTTCTGCTATTTACCAATATCTGTCGGGAGGGGGGGGAGAAGGAGTGAATTCATTACTTTTCCAAGTGTATAAGCACGTAAGTGAATGTAATGGATTCGACTGGAATTCGAACTCGGTTCTCCGAATCCTTAATCCGAGCCGCTATCCATTACTCCACCCGGGTGTACTTGATGATGAAGAGGATGTACTTTTCTTAAAAAAAAGGAAAATAGAGTCCTTCGTGGCCGAGCGGTAAAGCATGGCGGATCAAACGGTGGTTTTCCCTATAAAGGGGTATGCAGGTTCGATCTCTGCCGAAAAATAAATTTTCTTCACTAAGATTTCTCGAATGCGCAATAAATAAAAAGTTTAATAAGTAAAAATGGGGCGTCTATTTCAAATAGGAAGTGGAAAGTTGAAGTAATATATATATATATATATATATATGTGCATATAAAATAAAAAATTTCCATCCATGCCTTATATTCCTAACCCTCCGTTGATATGTAACTCAAGTATATTAACTTCCAAAGTATACCGTATAAAAGAAATGGCAGCATAAAAGTTAGACAAAAATATAGCGGGGCATTTTGCTCCCACCATAGACCAGCGAATAAATAGTTTCTTTCTTTAAAGTGATTTTTTTTTGTTTAAGCCGGTAAAATTAACTTTGGACAAATCTCTAAAAAATAATATTAAAAATTGATGACATGCCCCCCGGCGGATATGTGCTAAGCGACAAAAAACGTTTTTAAAATTTTGACAGGAGATGGCTCATAAAGTTCAGTAGGTACAGAATAGGCGCCTCCCGTAGCGTGCTAATTAGCAAGCTCGTCTCGCAGACCAATTAGCTAGTGTATGGAGTGTGAACAGGTGCCAGATTAAGTTGATCTTAGCAAATAATCTTACTGGATGTACATTGCCATGGCTCCGTGGCAGAATAAGCTAAACCAGTACATAATCTCTGCCAGGATTTATTATTGGTAGGCACGTAAGATGCGAAGATGACATCGTGTCAACAGCAGACACATAATAATAATAATAATAATAATAATAATAATAATAATAATAATAAAACTGCAAGAATTCGTCGACAAAGTAGTAAAGTGGGAAGAAAAGACTCAATATATAGTCATTAGCAAGAAGAACACGCCAAGATGCGAATTACAAATTGGAGATGTCAAAATCAAGCATGTACAGAAATTTAACTATCTTGGAATATGTTATAACAGATAACGGAAAATGTGACACCGAAAACCGAAGGTGCAATGGAATAGCAAAATATGCCTTCCAAAAGCTAGGCAAAGTATTAAAAAAGGAAAAAAAATCGTTACAAAGAAGAGAGTCCTGGGCAGTTATGTAATATCAATCCTCCTATGTGTCAGTGAATGCTTGATAATTTCTTCACAGATGAAGACGAAACTTGAAGCAACAGAGGGGTGGTTCTGCAGAAGGATACTGAGAATACCATGGATGGAGCATGTGA